TGGGGTTGTTGGCTATTCCTCGCTACGGGAGGCTCGATCCAAACCCTACACATCTATATTTATATATATATATATAGAGAGAGAGAGAGAGAGAGAGAGAGAGTATCATAGAGGAAACTACAGGGTGTATCTTCAGGGCTTTTCTGTGCGTGGAGCTTAGTCCTCACCAAACCGAAACATGCAACAAGGCCACTGCTCAATCTCCGCAAGACATGGAGTTCGTGGCTGCTGTTGCACTCAGGATGTATGGTCTGAGATGATCGTGCATGGCGCTGCTGAGGGTGATGAAGACGGCAAGACGCCAGAATCTGCGAAGCGTAAGCAATTCAGGGTCTGCCTGGTCTTGGATTCATCCGTATCCAGCCAGTCCGCAAGAGCATGGTCCTTGCCGGAGCTGTCTCTATTGCTAACCCACGAGGGCCACTTAGGAATGAAGGTTAGAAGCTCGACTGATGCAACCTGTCGGGTGTCACCGTAGGCCTGCAAAGGAGCTGTCAACGCCTTAGCTGCCTCGCATCTCGGAACCTCGGAACTACCACCGTCTGTGCGAGATCCATTTTCCGATTCTCTCCGCAGCGATCTTCCATCTTTCAAGCCCGAGCACTCGCGTCGCACATGCCTGTCGAGCGGGTGCAGGTCGGAGTTGAAGCTCAGACGGATTGCTGAGATCCACTGGCTCTACTTGATCCACAGACCACTGCGTACTGGTACTGGTAGCATTCAGTGGCTGACAGCAACATCCAAGACTTCTCGCAGAATCTTGGCCTCGTAACGAAGGCAGATGTGGTCAATCCGCTTACTTCTTCAAGGCCTGGCGGATTTGTTGCTTGGGGGCCTTCATGTCTTTCCAAGGTGCACTGTTGCTTGAGAGCAGGCTTTGCTGTAATCTCCGTCTTGAGGCAAGCGATAGAGCCTGGATACGTCTAAACGATTGCCAGCTTGAACTGGAGAGACTGTGGGGTGGCTCCTGCATTGCAGTGGAATTGAAACAGGACCAGCCCTGGATAAACGGTTTCCACAACGCAGGAAGTAAAAATCGAGCATCAGATCACATACGTCGCAACCTGCAAGCAAGAGGGAGCTTCGTGAAGCAAGCCTGGATCTCCCAGATACTGCTACCGTCCCTCTCCCCTAAACCCTAAACCCTAAACCCTCTATCGACGTGGACCCTGGGGCCTTCTTGACGGCCTTGGATCGGGCCGTGCGAGCCTTCGCGACCTGGCACGGGTCGTCAACCGAAATCTGGCGGTCATGGGTTTAGGGGTTTTTTGCTATGGCCGTGCGCGCGTGGTTTAGGGGTTTAGGGTTTAGGGTTTAGGGTTGAGGGTATTCTCTAGGAGCCTACGGGGTCTTTGGCACACCACGCAGGATTTCCTCAAGATGATCTTGCTGTAAGGAACCGGAGACACGAAACCCTTAAGCATGAGCCCTCGACTGCTCAGCCCCTGAAAAACCCCAAAATGCTGAACCACCAGTTCTGAGCGTCATCTGAGGTTAGAAATGAGAAGCCTTCCAACCCAAAAGCCTAAACTCTAAACCCAAAGCCTGAGGCCTCCTTCCACCTCTAAAGCCTAAACTTCCCCGGTCCCTTTCTGTCAGGCCTTGAAGCGCTCGAAGTCCGTCATGTTGGCGCGGGCCTCCTGTGGGATCCATCTGGCTTTCCGTAGGCTCGGCTTGGGCATCGAGGCCATTCAGGCTTGCACGGTTTAATTGCTATTGCTACCATTATTACTATTTTTATTATTTTTATTCTTATTCTTATTACTAGTATTAGTACGATGAAAAAATACAGGACCTGATAATCGGGCTCAGAGGTTGCCGCAGCCCCTGCAATCCTGAGCCAGGCACATCTCCCCCTTTCCAAACTCCATCGACTCCCAACAAGGCTCCCACTGCCCAACCTTGCAATCCTATGAGAGGACGGAACCCTAAACCCTAAACCCTATACCCTAAGCCCTATACCCTAAACCCTAAACCCTAAACCCTATAGAGCCCTAAACCCTAAACCCTATACCCCAAACCCTAAACTAAACCCTAAACCCTATAGAGCCCTAAACCCTAAACCCTAAACCCCATAGAGCCCTGAAGGAAGCCCGGAGCTCCTTGGCCTTCATCTTCTTCGCCCAGGCTGTCTCGGACCACCTCGATTTCGCTTCACTGGCTTCTCACTTCAACACAGCTTCTCATGCATCTCTTCCACAACAGATGGTAACCGCACAGCCTAGCGGTTTCGGGGGAGAAAGCCTCGCACTTCGAAGCTGTCATGTAGAGGACCACTTAAATTGCAGGCCCAGAGGCTTCTTCAGGACTTCGCCCTTCTCGAGAGCCTCCCGGCTCACAGGACGAAGCGATCCGAAGCGCATGGGTTGGATCACGTTGCTGCATGGAATGATCGCAGGCCTACACCATCTTTGAAGGTTCATGGATAGTTGCAAACTTCCAAGAGACAAACATCTGCTCCCTTACTTTTTGCCCCGCTTTTCCACACCGAGGAGCCTCCAAGTAAAGCCCTCCAACTCTGCCCAGCCCGAAGCGCGACAAACCGCCGAAGAAGTCTTCTCCTGACTGCCCTGGCCTTCTTCAAGGTCTTCTCCTTCACTCCACGGTCCAGGACCATGCCTCAGTCTGCTATGAGATAACCGGCATCCTGATAGCAGCAGTGGCAAGAGTCACCACATGGCCAGCAAGAGAGCCCCCATCAAACACAGCATAAATGACGAGAGCGCTGACCACCGTCATCGTGATGATGATGACTATGATGGTTGCTCAGCTTCAACGCCGTCAATGAAGGTGGCGTGATGATAGGGTGGCGGTGCTGAAACGATGAGGTGATGGAGGCACAGTGGAATGACGATGAGGTGCTGCTTCTGCACACAAGGATGCGTGTTATGTTGATGCTTTGAGGACGAAAGCTGCAGGCAGGTCACGGAAGTCCGTAAGGCTCAGCCTCTTCACGGGCATCATGTGGCGGCGGACCTGGTCAAGTTTGTCGGATCGTTGGAAAAGAGCTAGGCGAATGTTGAGCTGGTACTTTGAACCCGATTCTCAAAGCCCTTCCAAGGTGTGGTGCCTCTTCTCGAAAGGTGCCTGGCACTTCTAGCCTGAAATCGCAGCCGTCGGAGGCTCTCCAGCCCTCTTTCCGGGATCCCCGACTCCGGTGAGGCTCTCAGGGCCATCGACGACGACTCCTTGGCGCCCAGGGCGAGGGAGTGCCACAGACCCTGTGCCAATACAGCCGGCATCCATGAGCACCGAAACGTCTGCAACTGTCTAGTCGTCAGATACGCGTCGCTTCTGATCCACGATGTCCACGATGGTGCACCTTGCTTAGAACTCCAATGTGCTACAAAATAAGGAACGACAAGTGAAGCTAGAATCCTCCAGACATGATGGGCTCTGGATTTTTTCAGGATAATGCTTCGGTGTGCAGCTCTGTCAAAAGTCCTCCACTCGTACACCAGGCTCAATCACACGAATCCGGTTCAAAACCTTCGGCAAGACAACACCATGTTTGGCCCTCTCCCACTCAGTGGCGGCACATCTTCCCGGCGCACGGGCCTTGGATCGGACAAGGAATGCGTTAAAACTCCGAGGCTGTGCCTGGTCTCTGCCCCAGGGCGGGACGCCGGCCCATCAGAAGCTTTAAGAAACGCAACATCTGAGATCCGTGCTTTCCCTACATCTTCATGTCTGACGTCCGATAGGACCGTCTGCCCCAGAATCCCCCAAACCCCCCTAAACCCTCTAAACCCTGAAGATCTCAAAGGAAGACGAGGAGCCGAAGGTGATGAGCGCAAGGCGGCCCGGCTGCACGAAGCGGGTGAACATAGACTTCTGGGCCATCTTTGCCTGGGAGCGGGTGTTTACAGCTTATGTAATATCATATACAATACAACATACTATGATTAGTATAGACCGTCTTCTATAACCTACTAAACTATCAGATAATCTAGGTTTCACTCGGGGGCGGGGGGGGAGGGGAGGGTGTCTGTTTAAGGCAGCTTGTGGGCTTCCCCTCAGAGGGCCAAGGCTTCGAAGAAGCGACGAACACCGCAGCTTCGAAAGTAGGTGCAAAATACGTAATATTGTGATACCAGTTTAGGAATACTATGATACCATTCTAGTAATACTATTGTGATACCATTCTAGTAATATTATGATACGATTCTAGTAATATTCTGCTACTCGTTTAGTAATGCGATGATACAAATTGCGTGCCGTTGTCCAAAGGCCCGGGGCCCTCCTAGTCGCAAGCCAGGGCTGGGCTTCCCTGCCAGCTGCTCTTCGGAGAGAGTGAGCACCGTGACGTATTTGAGCTCAAACGGCTGGTGAACAATGATAGCGTATATCATATCATATAGCATAGTATACTACTATGTAATATTATATAGCATAGTATACTATTATACAATAATTAGTGTATAGCATAGTATACTATTATGTAATATTATATAGCATAGTATACTATTATACAATAATTATTGTACAGCATAGTATACTATAACGTGATATTATATAGAATAGTATACTGTTATATAATATTATACAGCATAGTATACTAATATATATATATATACATACATATATATATATATACATATATATATATGTATATATATATATTTATTTATTTATTTACACATACATACATATGTATATACAGGGCTGTTTGCGGCTGACGGAAAGGAGTTCAAAAGCTTACGGTTTAGATCTCATTCGGATCCCGGGCAGCTTGAAAAACTCGGCGGTCTAAGGTCATGCGGAGTCTGAGGTTTAGGAAGTGGTTTTGGCTCTTCAGGCTCCGGAATGCAGGTCGAAACGAGCTTAACTGTTGCCTCTGGCTCCTCCTGCACTCCTTCGAACTCGTGAGAAACTGATCTGCCTTCACAATGTGCTCCCCTCCAGATGGCGGCCGATCCGAAATCCGAGGCCAGCTGTCTTTTTATCTCCGCAGCATCTGCCACCACTCAAGCCCGTTCTTCGCACTGTTGAGACCTGGCCGATGCAATGCGAAGTGCTTGACGACGCTGAGGGCTTCACGAACGTGCGTCCGCAGACTTCGACGCTAAGAAGGGCACACTCCCACGACACAATCTCAGCACGACTCCGGTCAAACGATGCTAAAAGTCAACTGTGAATCCTTGTCCTCAACCCTGCACCGCTCTACCCCGAGCTTGCCCCAAGGCCTTGCAGTCAAAGTCGCCGCTGCCTACTTCTTCAGAGCCTGTCGGAGGAAAATCATCGAAGCGTCGGTTCATAAGGACGAACCATATCCCTGCTTCCACACCAGGCGAGCAGAAGTTTTGAGTTTCTGCGTGTGGGAAGTCCTGCTGCGACGGCTTCACCGGTGGAGGGAGAGAGAGCGGGAAGCGAAGATCCGCAGCTACTGGCTGCTGTTTACCATATTACTGAACGAACGAACGAACGAGCGAACGAAAGAACAAGCAAACAAATCAGCATATTGATATGTAGATGCTTGTCTGTGTATGTATATCTACCTATATATACATACATACATACATACATACATACATACATACATACATACATACATACATGCACACATACACGCATACACACATACACGCATACGCGCATACGCACATACACACATACACACATGCACACATACACACATGCACACATACACACATACACGCATACACACATACACATATACATACACATATACATATAACCGTAACTATACAAATATAGAATGGATGCATCATCACCATCATGACGGTCATCACACATTCGCAGTAGATGACCATGCGTAGTAAATCGAGTCCCTTCTCCTACAAACACCGGGCCAGTCCACCGCCTCAGTCGAAAACCACGCGAACACAACGGGAGACGGCCAATGGAAAGCTGGACCGACTTGGTGAGGCGTAGGGTGGAGTGTCAAGTGCACTACCTAAACCCTGAACCCTGAACCCTAAACCCTAAACTAGGATCAAAGTTGTGTGACACGACCGCAGCCCCGGTCCGGTTCTGAGAGTTCTCAGCTCCATGAAGCGGGCAGCTTTCAATTTCGTTCTATCCAAATGCTGTGTGGGGAACTATTGTCGTACTACTATATTATAGTACCATTTTATACTAATATTAGAACCCCATTATAGTGATATTAAAATACTATCACAGTATCATTACAAAAATGTGATAACTCTTTTACAGAATCATTTTGTACCCCCGTTTTTCTCCCCTCCCTCAGGCCTTCTTCACTGCCTTGGAGCGGGCAGTGCGCGCCTTCGCAACCTGTGATCACCATGGGCCATGAGGGGTAATATAACCTAGTATAGGCACAATACGCTGGTAAAAGGGGTAGGGAGGATCTGAATGAAGATCTGCAACGAAGATTGTGGCTTGGTGATTCAATTCCAGGGTGGGGGTTCGATAGCTCGAGGTTTAGGGCACGCAGAAAGCCATGCGAACTTTACCTTTCGCCCTGAAGCTAAGGGTCCACCGCTACGCGATGCTACGCTTTAGCAGTTGCACTAGAGCATACGAACGTGCGCCAGTGGTTCCCGGGGGCCCCCAGACCCCTGAACATCTACAGCCTGAGATCGAGGACCTTCCAATTCCAGTTCCACTGCTTCAGGAGGGGGTCCAGGCCCAACTACAGAGTGTCCACACCTCTGAGGAAGGCTGAAGATCCCTACGGATCTAATGCAGGGGCCTTAATGATTAGACTCGGGCCTTTTCTTCGCGATCGATTACCGTATGTCGATGATAAGAAAACCCTAGTAACATAGGTAATTCTCCAGGCTTCTACATTACCAGGTCGTGTCTGACAATATGATCCCCACCCCTCGCGGTCGAAAGACCAAGCCTCGAAAGAGGCCAAAAAGAATTCGAAGAGAAGCCAACACAAAGCCCAAAATCCCGCGCGCCCTTCACGACAAAGCCGATTTCTTAGGTGGTCAGCTGCCGAAATCTGGAGGTAATTGCAAAAACCAAAAACGCTGAACCACCAGTTCTGAGCCTCATCTGAGGTTAGAAACGAGAATTTTTACCCTGAAGCCTAAACTCTAAACCCAAAGCCTGAGGCCTCCTTCCACCTCTAAAGCCTAGACTTCCCAGGTTCCTTATGTTCCTTTCTGTCAGGCCTTGAAGCGCTCGAAGTCCGTCATGTTGGCGCGGGCCTCCTGAAAGCAGGAGTCGGAACACCCTAGATTCAGAGATGTGAGGCTTCACCGGCGCGGTGTGGGGGTGTCTTGCCGGCAGTTTCATTGTTGTAGCAAGCGAAGCAATGACATAAGGTATACTCGAACTGTCTGTCTATCTGTCGTTCTCTTGGGTCACGATCTGACTACTGAGTGACTACTGTTCGATATGATGAGGTTCTGAGCACGGCCCGGGTATCCACCCTTGTCAGTTGCGCCTCCGACAGCCGCAACATGTCCATGGACCTACTACGTTGGACAAATGCCTTCGTGCTTCACAGTGCACCAGATCTTTCCAGGCTGATATTTCCTTCAAGGCCCGCACGCAGAACCCTTTGCAAGTTCTCGACTTCCCAGACACAGCCGAAATTGCTTGCCTTCGCCTTCATCTTCTTGGCCCAGGCGGTCTCGGACCACCTCGGATCAGACACTTGCGAAACGAATGCAAACGCAAGCCTCATAGGCTGTAGTCCTCCTTCTAAGCCGTACCGCTGGTACCTTCCCGAGTAATGCTATCCATGTGGTAGCCGTGGTTGCGATTGTTACCGTTGCCGGGGTTACTGTGGAGTTGGAATACAGGCAGGGCCTGGAACTGGAGCATTTGGGCCTCAGTTGGGCCTCAGAAATCCTGCAACTACAGAAATCTTGCCATGCCAGGCCACTTCTTCAGAACCTCACCCTTCTCCAGTGCCTGCGAAACGTGCGGGAATGATCATGACTCAGGCCAGGCACATGGTGAACTTTTTGGGCAGGGCTTGATGGGCTTGGGGACAGCGCTGTTTGGGGCCAGAGACCCAGTGGCCCTTCAAGAACCGATGGAGTAGCCTGGCATAGGGTGCAGTGCCTGTGCTTGTAGAGTATGCGGCTGCTTGTGACAAGACCGGAATCGTTCTGGTTAGGTCGGGAGCACAAGTTTGCTCCTCTTGTGGTAAGCTCCTATCCCTAAGGGTAACCCATATTCGGTGATGGAGCACAAGAATCCGTAACTACGCCCTCGATCACCCTTAGAGTCAGAGCCTTCTTCAAGGTCTTCTCCTTCACACCGCGATCAAGCACCATGCCTTGGCTGGGCATCCAGCGTTTCTTGCTTCACGCTACACAAGTTGTGATGAACAGGGGATCTAGCATCTAGGGGCTACCCCAAGTTGTCGCCTCTCATGGCAGAGTTCACCAACAAGGCCCCTCGCGGAGATGACGTCGAAACGGTCTCGGGCCTCGTCTCCAGAGTCATAAGACTCCAGAGCCTTGGGCACCTTTAACTTGTGCTGATGCGTTGTTTGCCAGTTTACCCGAACAGAGTGTCAGAAGATGCACGTGGAGGGCGGCGATTGATTTGGTTTAGTTTACGGTTTAGGGCACATTCGACGGCTGGTGTCGAGTCCGGAGGGGCCGGGGTCAAGACGAGCCACGGAAGTCCGTCAAGCTCAGTCTCTTCACCGGCATCATGTGTCGGCGGACCTGGGCACTTCGGGCTTGGAGGTTGGAGGTCTGGAGTTTGGTACTGTAGAGGCCTTAATAATTAGAATAGGGTTTTGTGGGTTCCTTATTATAATAATAGTATAATGTACCCCCAAACCCTGTTCTAATTATTAAGGCCCCTATATTAGCTGGGATTATGCTCCCCCAGCAATCGGCTTTAAGGCTAGGATTCACGGATGTCGGCATCTGGCCAGGGTACGTGAGGTTCCGAGAGGTTCGGTATGAGAACAAGCTGATGGCCACACGGGACGGGACAGCTGGATGGGTCGTCTGGCTGGCTGCGCACCAAGAACAAACCACTAGTCAAACACAAACTGCTGGCAACGATTCATCAACAAATCAAGGCCTGAACCCGCCCTTTCCAACGTGCTTGGACCAACATCCGCCACAAGACTGTCACTGTATCTACCTGACCGAACTCTGCATCCCGAAATTACTCTGAAAAGCCGCAATCCCATTCTCGGACCCCAAAACCTGACTCAGGAAGTCTGCTTTGAGGATCCGGCACCCGTGAGGCTCTCTGGGCCATCCACAACCACTCCTCGGAAGCCAGGGGCTAGGCTTCACTCATGTGGCGTAAGGTTGGGGACATTGGGCTGCTTTCTGGTTTCGGCCGGAGGGCTTGGACAAGGCACCCCGAGGGCCTGTGAACGAGTGGGGGTGCAGTTTCAAAGAGGCCGTCTTAGGAACAAGCATGGGAACCCTCAACAAACCCACAATCCCTAAGCCCCAAGCCCGGCCTGCGAGCCTTCGATCCAGCCTTCCCCGCTACAAACTAATGTAGGGGCCTGAAAAAATTAGATTAGGGTTTTGGGATCCTTTCTAATAGACATCAATAGTAATAATAATCATAATCCTAATAATGAGGAACCCTAAGGAACAAGATTGGCTTCTAGATCTCCCATATTACTGCTGTCCGGCAGCTTTTCTGGTCCACGATGTCCACAATGGTGCACCTTTTTTCGGGACTTTAGTTAAGACCAAGCTTCCTCGAAGCACTGCCAGGGTTGGCGAAGTTGACGGGGCTCGGGGCGCAGTATGAACTATCGTCATCATCATCATCATCATCACCGTCACCATCATCATCATCACCGTCACCATCACCATCAAAATCAGCATCACCATCACCACCGTGCTCCTCTTCTGGCATCATCCTCACTCGCGCGCTCACAAGAACTTGAACTCAATCCTGTTCATGCTCCTCCCCGTCAGAAGTAGCAGCGGAGGCCATTCTAGGCCCCCTACACCCTAAACCCAAAAACCCTAAACCCTAAATCCTAAACCCCTAAACGGTGCAGGCCATGGCACATCTTGCCGGCGCAAGGGCCGAAGGTGATGAGCGCAAGGCGGCCCGGCTGCACGAAGCGCGTGAACATGGACTTCTGGGCCATCTTTGCCTGGGAGCTCGGGTTTACAGTTTATGCAAACATAACATGTATGTGTATATAATATGTATATATATATATATAATATGTACAATCGACTCTAGTAGACCGTTTCTTTAATCTACTACACCATTTTTTTTAGTCGAATATAAGGTATAAGGTCGCGATTGAGGTTTGGTCGGGAACAGAACTTGACCTGATAACCACAAGCGAAGACAGAGCTGCCCGTGAAGCTGGGAGAGCCGGGACAGCATGCACAGCTTTGCTGTAGGTATTCTGCATCCACGTATGCCTGGATGGCTTTACAGCAGCAGCCGCACACTCGTGATGCCGGGACTCCGTCTTATCTGACTCCGTGCAAATTAACAACATAAGCTTACCCTCCCTCGGTCCGGTCAGAGATGGCAAACCTCGGCCTCAACCGCCTGCCCTCCTCTGTGGCCGGGAGGCGATGTGCCGAGGGGAAGGAGGGGTGCAAGGCGGGGGAGAGCTGAAATGGCTGCAGAGGCTACCCGAAAAGGGCATCACGCAGGCTTTCTTGCTGCTTGCCTGGGGGCTCCACGAAAAGGGCTCAAAAACAAAAGGTTACTCGTGGGCAGGGCCAGAGCTACATGGCACAGGGAACATAGAACATGTGGTGTTCAGGGCAGGACTCTATGCTGAACTCACACACAGCAAGGTCCTCATTAGCCCAACAACAAACAGAACTCAAGACCCAAGGCCCACTTCTGACTCACGCGCTGACACACCAAATCCTCCCCGACCCCTCCCCCATGTGGCGGTGCAAACCGAGTCCTTCAAGGAGGCGAGGAATATGACCCGATTCTCTCCTCGGGCAGTCACAAGCCCGATGTCGAACAATTCAAGCACACAAGCATACACTCTCTGCCGATCAGATAGCATTGCTTTAACGGGTACTATAGGGTTGCTATAAGGCTACTACAAGGGGTACCACTTCCAAAGGCTGAGTCACAAAATCTCCGGGGTGAGCCCCTCACAGCTGCGACAACCGGGTCCCAAGCGCATTAGGCGGCCGATTGCAAGCCCGTCCCAGAAGATGGCGTAGATTGCCCTGAGCTCGGGGAGCACACGACATTTCATCGCTGCTTCGGTTTAACATCGAACCAGCCACACCAGGCCTACTCTACTACTCTCCCGCTTGGCTCCTCTTTCTGCAAGCGGCAACAGGCGAAGGACTGTTGCTTAGATTGCGCAACATGGGAACCTATGAAGAGGAACTTGTGCTGTTCTCATGCTTCAGTGGCTCCCCCGTGAGGGTGAGGGCAGCCGTGCGCTCGAAGAAAGGGAAAAATATAATCAGAGAACGGAGAACACTATATGATGCCCTTCTGCGGCCTCTGCCTTCCGAAGGACATCGGTAAAGGAAGGCAGTTTGCAACACATCGGTCAAGGAAAGCATTTTCTTGGGAGACCCCGCGCGAGGCAAAGCCAGCGCGTGGGCAGCCAGAACGCCGCCACCAGCAGGAGGGCGACCTGCTAATACCATTATAGCAGTGGCACAACCATTGTAGAAATATTCTAGCTTTGTTATAACCCTACTGTGGTGATCATTTAGTATCCTCAATAAACACCCCTCCTCAAAGAGCCTCCACATCCAGATTCCTCTCCTGACCTAAGACCTCGGTTCGGAGGCTAGCGGAGGCGTGAGAGTAGCACGAGCGAGCCTAGGATGCTTTTTCGAAAAAGCCCTAGGCTCTACAGAGCCTAGGGTTTAGGGTTTAGGATTCAGGGTTACTGTACATGGTTAAAACGATGCGAAGATCTACAAGCATTGGACAGCTTTGGCAAGAAGGAGGAATTCTGCGTCCTGGCCTGGGTTGTCGGGCTTTGCAAGACTTTGTCGGCATGGTGTCTGCCCGATGGGAACGTCGGATTAGCTCTGCCCTGACACACCTACAGAACACAACAGAACCATCTGAGGGCGGCCAGGGGCGCCGACCCATTGACATCAGCCCTGATTATATTTTGATGACCAGTCCCTCGTGCTGCAGCGGCCAACGTGTCCTCAGAGCTTACTGGGGAATTGGTGTGCACACCAGAAAGTGCGTACTGGGTGCGGCCCCATGACAGCTCGCACCGTATCCCAGAAGCGTCTTTAATCGCGGCAGCCCATGACTCCCACAAGCGTGACGGGAGCACAAAGACCAGTGCAAAGTTCTGCGTTGGCAAAGTCCTCGGGCGAGGTCGGCACTTGCAAGAAGCTTCTCCGCAGCTCTATGGCACAGCCGCAATGGTCTCCATGAGGATGCAGTTGGATTCAACAACACGCAACTGCCATTCAACGGCGAGGCGCGCCCCCAGCAGCAGGTTCTTCCGCCGCTCGTACCAGTCCATCCAGTACCTCAATGGACGGGAATCGGGCCTGAAAGCGCGAAAGTAGCTTATCCTAGCTTCCGCCGCACTTTGCATATTCACGGCTTTCTGCTACTGCGTGTACTGTCAGCAAAGCTTAACCCATTATTGAACAGTTTATCGCTTGAAGTCCGCACAACAAAGTACGAAATGGCTATGATTATGCACGATTAACGACCATATTTTGGATAATGTTGATACTGCTCAGTCCCTGAATGCTTGTGCACAGCAACAGTATGGACATGCGTGGAGATCAGTAGTAGTAGTAGTAGTAGTAGTAGTAGTGGTAGTAGTAGTAGTAGTAGTAGTAGTAGTGGTAGTAGTAGTAGTAGTAGTGGCAGTAGTAGTAGTAGTAGTAGTCGTAGTGCAAATGGGGGAGCATTTGCATTGCATGTTCGTATTCCTACTGAAGAATAGGAACATATCGAACCCGGCCACTCGATCTGGCGTTGCAGAAAGGCCCAGCGAAGAAGGTACCTGCCGGCCAAGATCTATGATCCCAAACCATCGCAGAACGTCACACCGATTCGATATCAGCACTTGCATCATTTTGCTTGAGTGCTCGAAGTGCCGACGAATGCAAGAACAAGGCTAATGCCGATTCTGACTATCATGATGATGATGATGATGGTGCTGATGATGTGGTGCTGATGATGGTGATGATGGTGATGACGGTGATAGTGATGGTGATGGCGGTGATGAGGGAGAAGAAGATGCTGATGATGATGGTGGTGATGATGATAATGATGGTGATGAGGAGGATGATGGTGATGATGAGGAGGAGGAGTAAGACCATGATCCTGATGATGACGTCGATGTCGTTCAGGAGTGTCAGTGCTGCCACTGCTATCATTGCTGTTGTTCGCAGCTACAGAAACCGACCAACGCCACCACGACCAGATCCGACTGCTCAGATAGTACTAGTGCAGGAGCGACTACATCATGGTTGTCGTCGCCGTCGTCACCACTATACCGTTGTGGAGATGTTCATCGAAACCGCCACTGAACAGTGTCGTTATTCCTGTCATTGTTCTCTTATAGGTTGCTGAATTTCTGGCTTCGGATTCACGAAGTGCCCTGCAGATTGCATTCGTGCGCTGCGGCGGACCATCATACTACAGGCCACTAGCGATGGAAAGTACGACACTGCGCAAAAGACGAAGAACAAAGACTTGGCCCGGGCTGCAGTCAGGAATCAGCACAACTGCAATAGGAGACAGACCCTGGTACCACCCGGTCAACTCGTCAACAAATCCTGCAAGAGGCGCTGTTGGAACATGTCGTGGAACGGCGTCCGGGCCATCCCGAATTCCATGCCCTTCGCAGCCTGGATGTTGAAAACATCACATGCCGAAGAGAATCGGGGTGCGAACAGTGTCCAGCTGGTCAAAGAAATAATGACAAACTTCTGCCTATCTCACTCTACAAGCCGAAAACTGCCGAGCGTCGATCCCGAGCTTATACGAAAAACGCAATCATAAAGATTGCTCGGGCGAGCTTTGCGAAGGTCCCTCCCGACATCGAGGTCGGCCCTGCTGATATTCACCAGAAAGAAAACAACCCCAAACCTTAATTCTTGAACACTCTGGGAGACGGCCTCGTTGGATTCTCGACCCTCCTCCTCAGGGAAAGGCTGTGGACCTGGCTCGGACTTCGAGCTTTGGAAACACTAAGATTGGAGTTTTAGGTTTAGGACCTCGGGGTTTAGCCTTTAGGACGTCTTCTCGTGGAGTGGCCGGAAATCTATGCTGAGATGATGCCACCTCACACCAGGATGTGTGGGTGAGGGTGGCGGACCGAGCTAGCAATAGTCTAGACAAGGTTATCCGCGTTTTCGGAGCTGGGCAGATGTATGGGCTGTAGCGGGAGAATGACTTCAAGTCTCGCTGAGGATCACTGAGAGTAAGACTTGGGCTCATGGTCGTCGGGTCTCCGCTAATGCAACCCTGCACTCATCGCACCCACCCATAGGCCTTGGGTCTCAGCCATCTGGGGCAGAGACCTAGGCTTGTTCAAGACTGGCGGTGCAGCTGAGGGCTGGTCAGCGGCTGGTCATGGCATGCTCAATCCTCCACAGTAGATCTCGCTACCCGTTTTCGCACGAGGTTCCCGTTTTTGAGATTCCGGTATCGTTCGGGTTCCCTACCAACCGGTGCTATACGAACCAGTGGACAACCGCCAACACACCATACCTGCCAGCAACGAGCCCGAACTCTGCTCCCTTTTTGATACCGATCTGGGACTGTCCGAAAATTAGGGTACTTTATTTTGGGATCCTTATAAGAAGGATCCTATATTACATTAGGGTCCCCTATCTTCGGAAACCCCTATCCTCGTTTCGATGCCGCCCACAAACCTCCCAATCCTGCTCAAACGTCTCTACGTGCCTGCACGCTGCGTGCATGGTTAGACCGGCTTCGTAGGTGCAGTCAGTGCTAGCGTCTACTTACAACAAGGAACCGTTTAAATAATATTGCTGATTCTTAATCCAGGCCCCTCGACCAAAACCCCATAAACCCACCCTTTTTTCGGAACCCTTCCTCCAGAAGAACCCTCATATTCAAACCAGGAGCCTCAAAAGGCCCCAAAACAAGGGGGAAACCTTCAAGGCTCCTTGGCTCCTTCCTTCCGAGAGAGGTACCTGGGAGGATTTTTTCCCGGGCCGGGCTGGGCTCCCCGGCTGCGACTTCGACGCGAGCTGCCCGAAGGAAAGACTGGACCTCGGCTTCCGGAGCTCGATTTTGGGGTTTGGGGCGTCGGGGAACGGGGGGGGTAGGGGGGGGGTTTTGGCGTAGGGGGTTTGAGGCGCGCAGGGCTTGGCAGTTTAGTGGGGAGTAGAACGCTTTCCATGCGAGAGGAGAGAAGAGCCTTCTGCTTGTTGGGAGGGGTTGCCTATGGTTGCCTGGTCTACGATGCCAAGGTTGCCCTGGGCTTCGTCACCGGATACTCCACCTCAGAGCCCCGAAGGCCTTGTACTCTGGAACATGTCACCCTCTGACATACCCTGCTTTTGAAGGAAACCTGGGAATCCCAAACCCAGACAAGTTCCATTGCGCCCTTTTTGGTCCGTGAGCAGTTTGCTGCACGAAGATACCTCCTACATGGTCGGCATGCGACCTGTCCTGAGCCGGCTCTGAAACCCTCATCCCATAATTACCTTTGACGGCTGCACCGGCTTGGTCGCAGATCGCTTCTCTTCAAAAAGAGGGGGGAGAGCCCCTCACAGCACCCTCTCTCTGTCCACGCTAAGTTTGAAACCAGGCGGCGGAGCGCTGACATGAGAGCGGAGCGTTGACACGTGCATGCGACGCTTGAAAGTGTGATGCTTCTAAAATCAGACTATATCACGTAATACACTGCTACACCTGAAGCACTGGGAAGCGTACATGCACAAATGGTCACGCCTCACTCACCGCTTCAACTTTTGGTGCTCTGACTGTTCTGATGGCGACGGTTCACAATACCGTCGCATGTCCAGGCTAATGTATAAAGAGTGTGGAGCAGCGTGGCCTTCTTTAGGCCACATCCACAGTAGCCGCACTCTCCCCAAAGTTTCTTAGGAATCAGGCTGCGCGCTGCTGGGGAGACGTACGGAGGAGAATTGTGCCTTCCCAAGCCTCGAACCCTCACACTTCAGCTGCGACCCGCACCGGCACTGCCTGAGGCGCCGGAGCACCGCCTCCTTGCATGTAGGCCGCGCCACCAGCCTCAAGCAAAGCGATTGCTGGGGTGCCATGCACCTTGAGGCTATCCATGCCGGAAACCAATCGGCACGAGCAGTGTCAGTGCGGGAAGTCAGGAAGACTGGCAACATAGTGCATGCCCGACGAACCCCACTGACCCACCCATAGCTTGGAGTCTTCACTGGCAGCTCCCCGAGTGCAGTGAAGGAGCAGTGCTGCCACCGTGGGCATGCACGAACTGCTGCACCTGGCCCGGCAGCATGTGAAGGTTCTGCTCTAAATCTCTGAGACCTCAGGACCACTGCATGCCTTCTTCTCTTGCCTCCATGCAGGGATCGATGCAGGCGATGGCCATGTCAACATGCAAGCATCGCACTCAAACATCAATGCACCATGGCTTCCCTTCAACACGTACGAAAATTCGAGTCGGAAAATTGACTGGGAACCAGACACCTGAGACAGCAACTGACACGTTACGGCTCTCGGCAGGGCCTGCTGTGCATAGAAGGGCTGGAACTGTGCGAACTCCGCGAACAGTGCCTCGGCCTCCCGTGGGATGGCTTTAGGGATATTGTCCCATTGCGGCTGTTCGGCGAAAAACTGAGATTTGGTCAGACACCCCCACACACACACACACACACACACACACACACTGCTACTACCACTACTGCCTCTACCCCTACCCCACTACAACTGCCCCCTGGACTGGTATTCGTGGTGTATTAGTCATGTATATAAGAATAATGACATTATCAGTGGTGAGAACAGCAATGGCCATCATCGCAGTACTCGCCATGAGCAGTATTATCGTCAGGTCAACGTCGACAGCATCATCGTCATCACTTTAGGGTTCCATGAAGGGTTGTTATCAGGGTTCTCTAAAGGCACTGTATAAGGGTTCGGTAAAGGTTGTGCTTTCGTAGAATAGTTTATAAGGATCCTGATAGGGTTCTATCCTATCCTATACCATACTCTACTAGACTATACCATACCATACCGTACTACTCCAGACCATACTAATTATACTAGACGATACCATACTACACTATGCCATACTATTCCCAACCCCTAAGGCCCCTAAAGCCTCGACCCTAAACCCCTAGACCCCCAAACCCCCATACTCTGCCATACTATACGGTTTAGGGAGATAAAAGGGTTGGGGTTTAGGGTTCAGGGTTTAGGATGTAGGGTGTACTGTTTCCCCATCCCTAAACCCCAAACCCTAAACCCTAAACCCTAAACTCTAAACCCTAAACCCTAAACCCTAAACGCTAAACCCTAAACCCTAAACCCTAAACC